CCCCTAAAGTTAAAGGGGACAATAAACTAGCCTTTTTTAACCCACTTCCCATCTGCCCTATAGAAGAAGTTCTGCCCATTTGCGGCCTTGGCTGTCAATCATGGGGTCCTGTCCATTGATTGCTCACCGTGCCACGGTGATTACCAAGCATCTCTGATGGGGGGGGGGAGAACGTTTGTAAACAAAACAGTTCTCCCCTGCTCCTGCACACTGCTTTGCATGGCTCCTGCATAGCACAGCCCATGCAAAGCAGTGTGCGTACAGTGAAGCACAAACACAGCCCAGTATGCAGAACAGCACACAGTTAACCCTTTGATCGCCCCACATGTTAACCCCTTCCTGCCCAGTGCCATTAGTACAGTGTCAGTGCTTTTTATTAGCACTGATCACTGTATTGGTATCACTGGGGATGTCAGTGACGCCAAGTCAGTTCCCCCCAGTCCAGCTATAAGTCACTGATCGACCATTACTAGTAAAAAAAAATAAAAAATCCCAGTATATATACCGCCAATTGTAAACGCTATAACTTTCACAAAAACCAATTATTTTACACATTATTATGCAGCAGAATACATTTATGATGAAATTTGATTTAAAATTTTTATTTAGTGGATATGTTTAATAGCAAAAAGTCAAAAATATTGTTTTTCTCTTAATTGACGGTCTTTTTTTTTACAGCGCAAAAAATAAAAAAACGCACAGGCGATCAATTACCACTGAAAGAAAGCTCTATTCGTTGGAAAAAAAGGATGTAAATTTCATTTGGGTGCAGCGTTACATGACCGTGCAATTGTCAGTTAAAGTAATGCAGCGCCGTAATGTAAACAATGGTCTGGTCAGGAATGGGGGGGGTGGGGTTATGTCTTCAGGAGGGCAAGTGGTTAAGAAAGTTTGGAGATCCCTACCCCAGACTAATGTCCCATACACACCATCAGAATATCGGTTGAGTTATCATCTGGGTTCTTTTTGGCTTGCTAGTCTCATATTGAAAATGAAGAGGTTACTAACGTTACGAAAATGCTTGTACAACGGAATAAAAATTCAGAAGTGATGTAATGTATTGTATTGTATTTGTATTGTATTTTCGCATTAAATCTGTACTGATTAAATGAAAATCGTATCTGGATCTGGTATTGCATGAGAAACATTTTTTGTGCTTGTCCCTTCGAATAATATCGGATGAAAGCTAACGATCAGATTATCGTATGATCGCTTTGTTAAGTGGTATTTTTCATATAGAAAAAAAGTAGTGCAGCTAAAATGTGTATAATCCAATTTAATTCGGCTACACTTTTTCTATATTGATTTCTATTGGTGTTTGAACAAACAACAGTGAGGAGCTGCAACATTTATATTTGCATTAGCTCAGAGGTTTTCATTTATTTGATTTGTATTTTTCATATGATTTTTCTGATCGTGTGTACTAGGCTTTACCCTTGCAGTGCAGGCACAGTCACACTGCAAATGATAGTTTTATAGTTTCCCAGGTCTGGGTTTTAACCGCTTGCCCGCCGCCCTATAGTAGAAGTACTGCTACAGAGCGGCAGGGCTGCGCAAAATCACATATACATACGTGATTTGCATTTCCGGGTAAGGAGCTTGCACGCGCATGCTGCCCTACCCACACTGCCATTGGCAGCTAGGGATATCAATCACCAAGTCCTGCCCAGAGATTTCCCACCGCCACCCATTGATCTGCGGGGAAAGCTTACAGGGAAAAGACCTATGTGTAAACAACACAGGTCTCTATCCTGCCAACAAGGACATGCTGCTTTGTATTTCTCTGCACAGGTGAGAAATCCAAAGCAGCATGTTTCCCTAGTAAAACAAACAGAGCACATAATGTAAAATAGCACACAGTTAACCCTTTGATCGCCCCAGATGTTAACTCCTTCCTACACAGTGTCATTAGTACAGTGTCAGTGCTTTTTATTAGTGTCATTGGGATGTCAGTGGCAGTTAGTCAGTTCCCACCCAGTGTCAGAATACCCGCCACAGTCACTCTATAAGTCGCTGATCGCCACCAATACTAGTATGAAAAAATAAAAATTCTAGTACATATACCGCCATTTGTAGATGTTATAACTTTCACGTAAACCAGTTAATTTACATGTATTGAGATTTTTTTTTAGCAAAGACATGTAGCAGAATACATTTTGGCCTAAATTTATGAAGAAATTTGATTTTTGTAATTTTTTTACTGGATGTTTTATAGCAAAAAGTAAAAAATATTTTTCCCCCAAATTGTCAGCTTTTTTTTGTTTATAGCGCAAAAAATAAAAAAAACGCACAGGTGATCAAATACCACTGAAAGAAAGCTCTATTTGTGGGGAAAAAAGGACATAAATTTCATTTCGGTGCAGAATTGCATGACTGCTCAATTGTCAGTTAAAGTAACGCAGCGCCGTATCACAAAACATGGCCTGGTCAGGAAGGGGGGGGGGGGTAAATCTTCTGGAGGGCAAGTGGTTAATTTAAAGTTTTTGTGCGTGGAGCTCAGTTAACCTCCCTAGCGGTATGCTTATGTCCATATTTCTGTGCTGTACATTTTTTTTGCATGGAAATATGTTTTTTTATATGTAGGCCTGTAATTTTTAGGAATAACTCACTGAAATCTGTCTGAACAAGAGTCTAGTAAACATCCCGGGTGTGATAAAACTTGAAACACAAAATCATAAATTATAATTTAATAAATAATCATAAATAATAATATAATAATAAATTTAATTCAATAATATAATCAAACCAAAAACACTGAAATTTGAAATATAGCGCCAAGTTCACACATCACTGAGCAAAGTCGCAAAATCGTTTTCAGTGTCTGATGATGAATTTCCCCACAAATCATTATCACTCAATTCTGCAAGTGGTTCTGATTTACTATCACTGTTCTCTAGCTGGTCTAAAACCGCTTTTGACCTAAAGGGACGCTTTTTGGACGCCATGGACATTTCTCAGTTTCCAGGCAGAAAGAACAGTAAAAATGCAGGCAGGGCACAGGGCAAAGCACTCGGGATAAAATGTATGTGAAATGGTTTGATACAGTAATGTTTTACTATGTGATTTTAGTGATTTTAGTGAATGTCACTTTTTGTCATTTTCAAATTTCCCGCTGTTCCGTCTCCCGTACGTCCCGACACTCGCAGGGGACGGAACCCAGATGACAGATGCCGGCATCCGCCGGATTACATTGCCAGGGACACTGCAGGAGGGACATCGTGGGAGCGCAGGACAAGGTAAGTGATCGAAGGATCCCGGAGCAGCACTGCAGGGTATTCCCGAGTGTAGCTCGGGGGGTTACCACTTGTGGTACTGAAACTTTACCCCGAGCTACACTCGGGAATACCGCCAGGGAGGCTACAGAAACAGGTACAAACCATTGTGACCCAAATAAGTGACCAAATAATCACCAGGTAATGAAAGCTGAAAATGTAAAAAGATTGAAAAGAACTTGGTTTACATTGATGCGATTCCTGATGAATTCTAGAATGCATGGAATCGCATGACCAGTGAAGTAACACATTTCTATTGAGGCTATTCACATATATGCAGCGCAATTCTGATGTGATTTTAAAAGGGGTCCTGTGCAAGTTTAGTGCAGTGTGGTTCGATTTGTAGCTACATGGACTTGAATTGAAATCGCTTATCTGTCCTAAGATAACACAATTCCAGTACGTTTTCTTGTTCCTTATCCCCCATCCCTGGTCCATGGGAGAGAGACAAGGTTTGATTTACTAAAGGCAAATAGACTGTGCACTTTGCAATGTGCACTCTGCAAGTGCAGTTGCTCCAGACCTTAGTAAATGAGGTAAAGCTTCACTTTGCAAAGAATAGCCAATGACGTACAAGGAAATGAACAAAAACAGAATTTTTGCTTGCACATGATTGGATGATGGAAGTCAGCAGAGCTTCTGCTCATTTACTAACCTCTTGAGCAATTGCACTTTGCAAAGTGCACAGACTATCTGCTTTTAGTAAATCAACCCCACAGAGTGAGAGACTGACTGAGGCCAAATCGCTGCCAATCTGAATCGCTGAACAACTACCCCTTGAAATCACACTGATGCCGGCAGGAAAATCACACTGCATCTATGTGAGCCTAGCCCAAGGGCGGACTGACCATTTGGAAACTCGGGCACTGCCCGAGGGCCCGGGGTCAGTAGGGGGCCCCATGAGATGCCCCTGGTACCTTTTTCATAGGCTTTTTTGAGTTTGGGCAAGGACACAGGGGCCCCATGATCCCCTATTGCCCGGGGCCCCATGAGTTGTCAGTCCACCCCTGGCCTAGCCTTAAGCCTTGGTTCACACTGGCATGTGATTCACACAGGAATCGCACCACATTCACATGTGATTCTGTGCGGTGCAATTTGAGCCATTCATTTTGAATGGCTCAAATCGCACTACATCCGCATGAAATAGGCAGCTTTTTTCTCTTTACACTGGAATCGGATTGCATGGGTGTTTATAAACATGCGATCTGGTTCAGGCAGGGGAAAATGTCACCAGCACACCGAGGATCACCAATATGGGTCCAAACGTTTTAATGAACGATCACATAGTTACAGCAAGGCAACGTTTCGGAGTCTCGCAGGACCCTTCATCAGGCATGTGACAAATTGTGACAGAAACTGGAGAACTATTTAAGAAAACCATCCACCAATCAGATTGAAGTGAAATGAGCCTGGCCCCACCCAATGATGTCATGTTCCCTCCAAAAATGCATTCAAATCAATGTAAACAGAAACATCACAAACTGCTAAAATAAACCATAAAACGATAATCTGATGTGCATAACCTGCATTCCCGGGGATATAAACATTGTGGTCACATGTGTAACATAGTACTCCCCGGATTGTAATAAAGTGTCAGCTGAAAGCAGCGCTGTATTCTGGCAACAACGACCAGCAGCATATATATCTCTGACAGAAGATAAAGACTGTTGTCTAGAGATGTGGGGGGGGGGGGGGGGAGGGGGTGTCTCCGATTGCCAAGTAAGCTGCAATGGGGACACACCTACAGTGGGTCCTATTAGTGCAGCGGCTGACAGTTTCATGGCGACACGACACATGTCACGTGCATGCATCATGCGAGTTTACTACTCATGCATGCGCTCGAAGTCATACCTGCACCGGCCGCCATTATCATGGAAAAGACAAGGTGGAGGCAGGTCGCCGGCATCATAGAAAAACATGGCGCCGACGCCACACAAGCCAATGGGTGGGCAGGGTTGCAGAGATGAGCTGTGAAGCTGAAGATGAGCTGGTTCATGCAAATGCACTGCATTTTGCAACCTGCTTTTGGGGTGTCATCAACTTTTAATTGCCACCTGCAGCAGATCGCATGAACAGTGTGATTGCTTTACGGTACGGGAAACACACAGGAATCGCTGTATTTCCCAAACCGCATCAGTGTGAACCGGGGCTTAAGTGATATCAAACCCTCAGTTTATATAATGTATTTCAGCAGCTGATTTAATCACTTACTGGGTATGCAGCTTCTTTATCTTTTAATCCTTGTCTATGTTTCTGTTTAAGGTGGTGTCAAGAACATTGCCCCAGGTTTCCTGTTTCAGGATGGCTCCTTTCTCTTGCAGCTTCCTATGGGGTCACCTTTGCATGCAGGGACTAGAGTTGTGCCTTCCTACACTTTGTGCATCCATAGAAACACACAGCCCTGTGGTCTAGGACAGGAAGGCAATCCCTTGTTTCCCCCTCCCCCTTCTCCAAGCTAATGTACTGCAGAGAGATTGCACTGTCTACTGTTAACTCTTTCCTGTGAAGACCAGAAGTTCAGGGAAGAAGCACTGAGAAAGCAGCACTAGACGTTGTAAACTGCAAGTGCTGGGGTAAGAATGCTAACACAAAGTTTACTGTGGAATGCTTATTTTATTATGTTCAGTGTATTAAGCTAAAGAAAAAAAAAAGCTGAGAGTTTAGTGCAACTTTAACTACAGTGATGCCAATGTGACAGTACAGTATGAATTCTGATTCCAGTAAACATGCAGCTGAAGCTATTTCATTAAATCTTTTAGCTAAGATGTGTGCTTCATTGTTTACACAGTTAGTATGGCTGAAAAAAGACACAATTCTATCCAGTTCAACCATAAAAAAAAGTTATAATCCTACACCCACAGTTGATCCAGAGGAAGGCAAAAAAAAAAACCAGCAAAGCGTGATCCAATTTGCTCCTGCAGGGGAAAAATTCCTTCCTGATCCCCCAAGAGGCAATCAGATGTTCCCTGGATCAACTTTACCTATAGATGTTAGTAACAAGTTATATACGGGCAGCACAGTGGCTTAGTGGTTAGCACCTCCGCCTGGCAGTACTAGGGTCATTGGTTCAAATCCCAGCTACGGCACCTCCTGCCTGGAGTTTGCATGTTCTCCCTGTGCCTGTGTGGGTTTTCTCCGGGTACTCCAGTTTCCTCCCACACTCCAAAAACATGCTGCTAGGTGAATTGGATCCTGTCTAAATTGTCCCTAATTATGTGTATGTATGAATGTAAGCTAGGGACCTTAGATTGTACATCCCTTGAGGGGTAGGGACTGATGCGAATGTATAATATATATGTAAAGTGCTGCATAAATTGACAGCGCTATATAAGTACCTGAAAGAAATAAATAAAAATATTCTGTGTAACCAAGAAACAATCCAGGTATTTTTTAAAGCAATCCACTGAGCTAGCCAGAACCAACTCTTGAGGGAGTCTATTCCACATTTTCACAGCTCTTACTGTGAAGAAACCTTTCCATATTTGGAGATTAAATCTCTTTTCCTCCAGATGTAAAGAGTGCCTTCTTGTCCTCTATGATGACCTCAGGGTGAATAACTCTACACCGAGTTCAATATATGAACCACTGATGTATTTATACATTATTATACAGGAATTATATAGTGCCAACAGTTTGCTCAGTGCTTTACTATATATACATGTTGATCATATTCCCCCTTAATCTCCTCTTCTCAAGAGAGAATAAATTCAGTTCCTCTAATCTTTCCTCATAGCTGATCTCCTCC